CTTTTGCTGACGCAACATCCCTCACAGCACACGTCAAGAATATACACTATCACCAAATGACTGTTTTATGTACTGGATCATTGCCGTTGGTTAAGTTTTATCGTGACCTCTTAGATTAACCTTTTTCTGAGGCACTCTGACTGTAGCCCCTCACTTCTCACCCCTTTTGTCAGCTCGAATCAGGTAAGAGCAGTCTGTGCCCCAGGCCCCTAACAGCCCTTAGGGGTGACCTTTCCGGGGAGGAGGGGAGGAGTCAGATTCCCTGGTAGGCAAGCAGAGAGGGAGAAGGGCCATGACTAGGTTATAAAGATGTTGAACTTTCAAGATGGCCAGCTTCTTCATCACCCTCCTGACCTGAGACCAAAGCATAGCAGCTTAAAATAAAGGCCTTGTGGGCTTTTCTGCTGCCAGTGGGCCTCAGCTAAGGGACTGGGTCGAGCTCAAGGCCACATCAGGATAGGTTTACACAGCAGCTGTGGGCCGATCAGCCACGAGTCTTTCTTCTGACCCACCAGCCCTAAATTAGAGAAGGAAGGCCTTTCAGAGACTGAACCCAGGCCTGAAGAAGACACTAGGTTTTTCAACTTCCCGAGTCCCCCGTCAGCGTTGTATGGGTTCTTTTTTTCCTGTGTGGCTGCTGTATGTCTGTGTCCTTGTTACCAATAAAAGCTGTTCTTCAACTGCGAAAATAAAGAAAACAAGCCAAGCAAGCCATGGGGAGCAAACCACTAAGTAGCACTTCTTCACGGCAGCCTCGGCTTCAGGTTTTACCCCCACGTTTACCCCGCTGGAGTGCCTCCTGACTTAGTTTCCCTAGACGATGGACTAGAACCTGGGAACTGAAATAAACCCTTTCCTCCCCGAGTTGCTTTTGGTCATGGTATCTGTCACAGCAATGAAAAGCAAAGTAGGACACTTTGCCTTCTAATCTAGATAGCCGGGATTTCTTTGGGACATTTAAAAGCCCCACAGTTAAAATAAAAAAAAAAGCTGGCGTGATGACACTTACCTTTAATTCCAGTTCTTTGGAGGCAGAGACAGGTGGATCTCTGAGTTTGAGGCCAGCCTAGGGTGAGTTCCAGGACAGCCAGGGCTACACAGAGAAACCCCTGTCTCAGAAAACTAAAAGAGGGGGAAAAAAAAAACCTACTAAAAGGAAAAATAAAGGGGAGGGGACTGAAAATTCTTTGACACAACTTTCATCAAAAGGTGAGATCCACATACCCTCTCTTTAAATTTGAACAAGACTCAGTGACTTCCCTGTACCCCTCCCCCCCTCAACTCCCCCACCCCCACCCACTAGAAGTGGTGCTCTGTGACTTTGGGAGCCAGACCACAAAATATGAAACAGCTTTCAGCTTGCTTACTGAAATAGAGGGCATTTGAGTCTTGCCTTGTAAGTCCGACTACCCTGAATTCAGTAGCCGTATTAAGAGAGTCCATGAAGAGCATGATTGGGTGTGGATGCTTAGCTGTAGTTCCAGTTTAACTATCAGCCGGGTGAGTAAACATGCCTCTGGAGCATTCCAGTCCTCAGCTGTGAAGACACCCCCAGGCACTGAGTCTTACTCTGCTGAAGGCCCAGACCTGGAGCAAAGAGATAAGCCACCTTTGTTTTGCTTTGTCTGAATTTTGAGGTAATTTCACACGTTGCAAAAGGCAAAAACTGTAATATTTGAGTCTCACAGTGCTATAATATAATGAACAGGTTTAAATCCTTCTTGGTTGTGTTTGTTTGAAAAAGCTTATTTATATTGTTTTATTGTTGTTGTTAGGCCATCTTAGATTGGCATTATTATTATTTATTATTATTATTAATTATTATTATTACTATTGGTTTTTTGAAACAGGGTTTCTCTGTGTAGCTTTGGGGCCTGTCCTGGAACTCACTCTGTAGACCAGGCTGGCCTCAAAACTCACAGAGATCTGCCTGCCTCTGCCTCCCGAATGCTAGGTTTAAAGGCGTGTACCACCACTGTCTGGCCATTATTATTACTACTGCTACTATTAATTATTATTATTACTATTATTTTATAGATTGAAAAACAAGACAAAGCCAGGTATAATGGTATGTAATCCTGGCACCTCAGGAAGCTGAGGCAGGAGGATGATCAGTTGGAGGCCCTCAACCTGAGTTACAAAGTAAGAACCTATCTAAAACAGTAACAACAAAAACAATACAAATAAGCCATATAAAGAAACCCAATAAAGAGGAATTTAAACTTACCCATTATGAGATTATATAGTCAAAATGTTGATATACTGGCACGAAAATCCCGAGCTTTGGACACCAAAGTTTATGCTTTCTCTCTGTTGTTTCTCTTCCGGATACCATGGAACATTTTCGTTTGTTTCTTTTTAGAGGGTCTCACTTTGTGAGCATTGGCTGGCCGGGAACTCACTATGTGGACCAGGCCAGCCTCAAACTCTAGAGATCTGCTGAGATTAAAGGCATGTGCCACCACCCGATGCCTGGTTTAGACTTGTTTCAAAACTGCCATGGCCCTGTCTTAGACAGTGAACCGGCTGCTCTGTAGAACTGACTGTGTTCTCCTTGCCTCACTTAGTCCCGAAAAGATGCCATACAAGCCCCGCTCTCTCGGCCGTGTTGTGGGGAGTTCCCAAGATGTCTCTCCGTAGTCTGGTGAACAGACAGACCCTCACTTTACCTTGACAACTTCTGAGACCTCAGCACATGCGAAAGCAGGTGCAAGTCCTTTGTCACTGGACACAGCCTGTCTGTCCACCTCCTCCCCCAGCCCAGCGCTGCCACATGTGGGTGGACATGCTGCAAGCCCCTCCCCCAAACAGTGTGTCCTGGAGTGTATGGTGAGCCAAGCCAGAAGGTGATCTAAGCAGAAACAGATCACCCTCCTTTCGAGCTGTAGTGTGCTGCGTGAACATGAGAACAATCCTATCTGTACATTCTTACAGACACTTTCGTCAACAGTTGGTGTAAGTTTGTCTCAACCCCCCTGGGCCCCTTGAGCACTCACACAGCCACAGGAAACCGGAAGGGAACTGTCGTAGGAAGTGCTAGAGTAGACCCGACCACTGCTTCAGCTAGTGGCTGAAATGGCTGAACTCTGCTGCGGCTCACCCCTTCTCCCTTTTTTACATCTAGCCAGTATTTCCATCTGGAAATATCGAGTTCTGCATTCTGATGGACACTGGATCATCCTACTGGTCAGCCAGATCTGATTCCACGTTAATGTGTTCAACTCTAAAAGAAGAAGTAAGCAGCCTTTAAGCTTCTGGATTTCCAACTGGGTTCATTGATACATAGCTGATCACAGTTTGTTTTCTTTATGAAATAATGTCATTTTTGTGGATAACACATTCTTTGTCACTTAATGGTCAGCAACTCTTAGAAGCTGAAAAGATGTGAATGGAAATAGAGTCATAGGACTGGATTCAGACCAGCTTTCCTACAGAGGAGTATGTACGTGGAATTCCCTCAGAGGAATTCCAGATTCAACCCAAATCCTCTAAGTATGAGGATCTTGATAATACCTTCAACTGGAATCTCCCATTTACCAGACTAACTTTTGCTTATGAAAAACTTGCTTCTAGATTAATGAAATGTATTAGGGTACTGTGTTCTTAACAGTTAACAAAAGATATTCATGCCATATTATTACTTTATCACAACATCTTGCTCACACTACCTTTGGGTATGTTAATGAGATACAGAATGTCTTATCAGTGTTCTATTGCTGTGAAGTGACACCATGACCATGGCAACTGTTGTGAGAAAAAGCATTTAATTAGGGGCTTGCCTACATTTTCAGAGGCTTAGTCTGTTATCATCATGGCAGGAAACACGGCAGCAGGCATGGCAGGCATGTGCTGGAGAGAGAGTTGAGAGCTACACCCTGATCTGCAGTCAGAGAGAGAGCAAGACTAGACCTGACATGGGCTTTCAAAGTCTCAAAGCCCACCCCCAGTGACACACTTCCTCCAATAAGGCCACACCTCCTCATCCTCCTAATCCTCTCAAACAGTTCCATTCCTTGATGACTAAGCATTCAAATGCATGAACCTGTGGGAACAATTCATATTCAAGCCACCACACAGAGTTCTTGAAAATATTCTTTTTTTTTTTTTTTTTCAGTTTTTCGAGACAGGGTTTCTCTGTGTAGCTTTGCACCTTTTCTGGAACTCACTCGGTAGCCCAGGCTGGCCTCGAACTCACAGAGATCAACCTGGCTCTGCCTCCCGAGTGCTGGGATTAAAGGCGTGTGCCACCACCGCCCGGCGAAAATATTCTTTGTGAATTTATTTTTGTGCTCAATTTTTATTTTTATTTATGTGTGTGTATGCCTGCTTGTCTGTATGTGCACTGTGTATATGCAGTGTCTGAGGAGGCCAGAAGAGGGCATCAGATCCCCCGGAATAGGAGTTACAGGCAGTTGTGACCCACCTGACGTAGCTGCTGGAAACCAAACCTGGGTCTTCTGCAAGATCAGTACTGAAAGGACCAAGCAGAGGCCATAGCAGGCTGTCAGTCTTCTCTCAGAGGTCAGGTCTCAATTTCAGTTTCCCGAGACTTGAGCAAGCAGCTTCTGGGAGGGCCGTGAACAAAAGACATAGTCCTTGCGGTAGCTCCCTTTCTGCATGTACTCAAAGTGCAGCCATATGTTCACTGTCTGGGACCCCTCACCAACTTAGAGCTATGCACATGAGTCAAGGCCTGCACCACTGAGCCAGCCCCCACAGTCAGTACGTGCTAGGCCAGCCAGCCCCCACGGCAGCTCAAGGACAAAGCCTGGGACTTGTCCCCGGACAGCCCCCAAAATGATAATTGTAACCCCCAACCAGTAAATTCAAAGGTTACATACCCTCACCCAATTAAAAGAGAACTGAGATAAAAATAAACCAATCCAAGTTGCACCCGTGCAACCCCCCTCCCCCAACCGCCCTGAAGGGCTTGTGGTTTTTGCCTTTAAATAGCTAGCCTCACAAAGAAAAAGCAACTCCTCCCTGCCTCACTCTATTGGGTGTAGGAATGAGTTCCCTGTCTAGACTTGTATCTATAGAATAAACTTTGCTGTTGCATTCTGGACATCCATGGTCTTCAGTGGTCTCTTTGGGGTTGTGATCTGGGCATAACAAGTAAGTGCTCTTAACTGCTGAGCCATCTGTCTAGTTCCCTGCATGAATTTTTTTGTTTGCTTTTATAGAAGGTGCGATATAATACATTATCTCTTGGCAAAGGAGGAAAGAGAACAACCTACTCTTGACCACCTTCAGAAATTTTGCTTTCTGTGATTTCAGCTACCTGTGGTCACCTGTCATCTTAAATATTAGATGAAAAATCCCAGAAATAAAGAATTCATAAGGCCTGGGGTTTTGTTTTGCTTCCCCCACCCCTTTTTTGAGGCTCAGAGAGGTTGAGAAAAGGTTTCACTTCCTGTCTCTAGCTGATTTGGAACTCATTATGTCAACCTGGCAGACCAAAATTTGGATCCATCTTCCTGCCTCTGCCTTCTGAGAACTGGGATTACAGCTGTGCACCACTATCCTATAATTCATGCTTTAAATTCCATTCCATTGAATAGGGTTATAGCATTTTGCAGCATCCTACTCTGTCTTACCTGGAATGAGAGTCTCCCTTTGCACAGCTTATCCATGTAATATATGCTACCCATCTGTTAGTCAGTAGCTGTCTCAGTTACTAGATCAACTGTCAAAGTACTACAATTGTAGTGGGTAGCCAT